GCAGACAAATCAACTGAGATGGGTTTCGCTCGGCACCGTGTTCAGTCAGTCAGTCGGTCAGTCGCTGAAAGGGGAAGTAAGCATCTGGCATATACAAGTCCACCCTGAGTGAGACCTGTTTCAATAAATGCTCCTGCTGGCACACAATTTGCAGGGGGGCTCCCAACATAGTGTTTGGATGCTCGAAAGCAATAGCCTCTTCGTGAGCATCAATTCTGCTGCACAAAATATCATCCATTGGGTTTTCGCATTCAGTTGATGCACTGCAGAAGTACTGAAATTAGGGCAAAGAAGTCATAATGGGTGCACACATTAACCTGCAACTTGATGGGAAAATGCGTGGAGTGGTGAGTTGAATGATGTGGGATTGATGGATGGATGCATATGCATGCAATACACGGCTGTGTAAATAAATGGATGTGGTTGTAAAGAACGAGTAAAGGAAGGATGTATTGGTGGATGAGTAGATGAATGGATGTGTTGATGAACACAACAGCATACAGCATCTGGTAATCACATGACCCGATACCACGGAAACACTGGTTATTTTAGAGGCTAGAAATGGGCAGACTGTGAATGCACATCGAAATGCCTCTCTCGGTGACAGGCAGCATACCGCGAAATGAAGGATTTCAGCAACACCGAGGGTTACCTGGTCCTCGTGAGTCTTTCCTTCAACAACTGCGTTGCATCAATTTGTGTATGAAGTCACTTTAACATAAAACCCAACTTTTGCCCCAACCGAAGGACATTTACACATCACACAGGCGATTTGGAAATTCTGTATACAATTAGGAGCTTTAGGGGAGCAGTGGTGGCATGTGTTCCCTGACCAGACATACAGCAGTGAAAGTAATTCCACCTAGTCTACCTCATTTCATACCACTGGCATAAAGCCATCCAGCTCCGATTTATTTGATTGCAGATGGTCAGGTTCACAATTATTCTAGCATTTGCACTCCCCACTACTTCTTTCCTCTCATCGCCTCAAATACTCAATTCCAACCCGAACGCCTCCCATTGTTTAGAGGACCTTTCATAATTTACCCTTCCCATAACGTCACATCTCATTCGCAATATTTTAAATCAGTCTGCTGGGAAAGCACATTTCGAGACGCCAACACACTGTGGCATTTTCAAAATTACTGTCACTGTCAACTGCACCTCTAACCACAACACCGTAGGACTGATGTCTTTACGTTAAATCGTCGCCTTATGGATCTGCAAGGTTGCTCGATAAGACAAGGCACTTCTCACCTAATGGATGCCTTCGCTTTTAAGACTATTCAAAGTCGAGTTATGTGGATAGCTCGACCAATTCCGTTGGAGTTAGTAGCATAAACAGTCACCTCGTACAGTTTACCCATTTTCCATTCAATCTCAGGTAAGCCTGTCTCACCATCTACCTCCACCACTTCAAATGTCCTCCCATCTCCAGGAACACTCACTCTTGCGTAGAAGCAATCAGTGCTCTAAGTGCAGAAGGTAAATCAACTTCGGTAGTAGATAATGCCTGTCTCATGCGGATTGGGACTGAGAAATGAATGGAATTGCAGTTCTGGGATAGAAATGTGCTGTGATTGCTCCACGGAAAGCAGTGGAAGTTGCCAATTCAGTTAAGCATTTCAAAAGGCGAAGTCATGGGCCATACCTCTGAAATCGACCAAACGGGTTGACTCTCATCAACACTGCTTTGTTGAGCGAAATGCTTAATGTCGAGGACTTCAGAGGAACGATTAGACTTTAAACTGACACCAGAATCTATTGTATACAGACCCTACTAGTGCTCTTTCATTTTTGCTGTCAATGCGCATCACTTACGGGTACGATGAAGGCAATTGTGCAATCAGTAGCCGCGACCGTTTCTTCAAGATACTGGTTGGGATTTTGCCGACTCCTGAAACACCACGTAACTTCCTTGGCTCCGTCTCCATGTTGTCCACCGTGAATGTGATTCTGCTCATCTTAATAAGAATGTCGTACCGTCTCTCACCTCCAGAGAGATGCTTGGATTCCACTTTCTCAATTATGGCAATTCCATTGATTGTTAGTTCTACTGGTTCTATCATTGAGGGAGTATAATAGATGTGAACGTAGCAGATGGCAAATTCACTTGGACGATGGATGAAACAACATTGATGGGAGCTTCAAAATGCGTTGATACAACTTGTTGCTTCCATGCATAGGGTTCCACTACGGTTACCACAATGTTCCAAACTTCATGTATGAAGAGCCCGTAAAAAAGTAATGTCTCGCTCAAATATGGGCCCAGTTGTATCTACAAATCAGCGCCTGTTTGTGTATGCAGTGGGTCAGTCAGCATACAACCACACAGCCTTCACAAATGTGGCATGGAACGAGCGTGCTTTATGCTGCACTCATAATAATGCAACCTTAAACCCCAACATTCGGTTCTCAATGAAGTTTGATAAGGGACACACCTCGTTGTCATAAAACTCAATAGTTATCCACTTGACTAACGGACTGACTGTTAACTTAGAGGTCTTAAAGAGGGATTGATTTAAGCACCTGACACCGTTTTAATGGATGGCTGGTATGCTACAGTCTGCTGTCTTGAACAGTTCGACAGAGAACGGAAGAATAGAAGGAGGAAGAATTGTTGTATCCTACTTTTGACCAGTCAGTGGCAGCATTCACTCTTATGTAACACTCACAGAGCAAATGCTTTCACTGTAGCCTATCTGCAAAGGTGAAGATAGATTGACTTAGTGAAACGGCTGAGACGCCCCGCCATCTTTGAGTTCCATAAACTTTGTCCCTCTATAAATAAACAGGTGGTCTTCCTTTCCGCCTCAGACAAGAGGTCGATTGCTAGAAA